AGATCATTGCAATTATTTATCTTCAATGTTTTGATCGCTTGTTGTCGTTGAAACTCGGGTGCCCAGGCCTGCCCCCACGGAGGCACACAAAACTTTTTTCCAGGAAGCCCCACAGGTCCGCAGTGCAGCTGAGCCCACTCGGTCGACATGATGGAAGGGGATGCGCTTCGGCGCGAATTGGGGGGTTGCCCCTAACTTGAACAGAGGGAGAGAGAGAGCGAGAGATCTCAGGTAATGCGCCGTTGAGGGGTTGGCCTTCGGGCCGGGGGTCCTTGACCCCAAACCCCCAGCAAGCAAGCAAGCAAGCAAGCAAGATCTCAGGTAAAGTCGATCCATGAGGCCCGCATTGGCCTCGCAATCCTAGTTTCTTTTCAAGCACATCTGAGGTAATCAGTGATACTTGAATTCGAGGAATGAAGGCACTAATTTGAGCCGAAGCCAACCGCGTAACTCCGTGGGGAAACTAAGCACGCTTTTCTTCTACCCTTTTCATATCCACCTGGAGTGGGGGGTGACGCATCAGTTTTTATTATTTTCGGCTGGAGCCTTACTTTCTTGTTGACAGTTTGTACTCGATGACAGCGTCCCCCTTCCTACGCAAACTCCCGGGATTGTTTTTTTTTTCCCATGTATAGCCGAGCCCCCTATGGAAACTTCCTTTGGGGGAACAGCGTGTACCCTTGGACCGCAGGGGCGCGCTCGCGCGCGGGGTGTAGGGCTGGACCGCCCTGCACCTCGTACCTGGTAGAGAGAGAGAGAGAGAGAGAGAGAGAGAGAGAGACAGAGAGACACCACGAGCTCCGCGTTGTAAGCAGTCAAACCTGGTGGCGGGCGGTAGGTCTTCTGTGTCTTTTGTGTCTTTTGGAGGGGTTGGGCATGCATTGGAGCGAAATTGAATGACTCAACTACCACCAAGATACCATGAATACAAGCCAAAGAGGGCCGGGGCGGGCAGGGTGGCGGGTGGTGTGTCTTTTGTGTTTTTTGGAAGGGTTGGGCATGCCTTGGAGTGGAATTAAATCAATTAAATCAAAATACCACGAAAACAAGCCAAGGAGGGCCGGGCGAAGTCAAGGAGGGCCAGGGCGAGCAGGGTCGCGAGCGGTGTCGTGGGTTTTGGAGGGATTGGGCAGGCGTAGGAATGAAATTAAACAACTACCACCAACAGACCTTGAGAACTGCAGCGAAATCCCGCGTCAAGTAAGCGATGCCGAAAACCGAGCCGGTAACACAACTTCTGAGCGCCGCCCCCGCAGGCAAAGTCGCATCTGCCACGACTGCAACTCGCCAAACCCCGCCAGTTACCGCCAGTTGCCATCTGTCGCCGACAAGCACGAGGGCTGGTGCTCGGTCGGCCATGGTCGCCATCTTTCAGAGCTGAAAATCCAGGATTTTGGCGCTATGGTCCGCCCCCGTCGATCAACAACTTCTGTGAATAGGCGCGAAACCGTGAACCATAAAACCAAAGCCCCAGACCCTATACACCAGTAAGCATAAAAGCCACAAGACAAGAGTCTATGCCGGAAAGGCTTTGACACGCCGTCGTGCATGGATAAACACGATCACCTCTCAACCAGCCTGTCTTGGAACATCTTGGAACGCAAGTTCCTCCAACAATCCACTCAATGATCCCTACCCGAATGCCTTAGCCGCCTCCTCCCGTGAAGAATCCGCTACATGCAGCTTGGCATCCTTGTGTTCCGTATATTCCGGCTGAAGGAATAAGAATGATATGGGAACCATACTTCCTTCCGCCAGGCAAACCACGTTCCCTGAGCGCCCTGTCCGATATTTAATTTAATCACCACATAATCCTCCCGTAGCCCAAGTATCCAACTCTGGGAAATAACCTCAAAACCCATTTCTGACGATTGAGACCCCTGTTTTTGTTTTAGCGGTGAGGGGAGAGGGGAAGGCCCTCCGTCCTCCAATGCCATGCATGTGAGTTGCACCAGGTCAAAGTTCGAATAGCTCAACGGGTGGTGATGCCGCGAGCTGAGGTTTCTGTTACCGTGATGTACGGCACGGTTTAGGTAGGAAAGTAATTTGGAATTTAGTTCAACTGAGGGCAATAGCGGCAGGAACTAGGGTCCGAGCTAGACTGCTATAGACATCGGTATCGAAAGACCGCAGGCCAGCATCAGCATCACTGGGTTTCCGTCTCTGAATTTCTGACCCTGAAGCTTCCTTTGGCTTTGCTCAGTCAAAAAATCAACGCCCGGCAGTCTGAGCGGGCTCACAAATGGACGTTGCCCGACTTATCAGTCAGGATTCTCTAATGCCGCCGGGCCCAGAAGCGTTCAGGCCGTCAACCCTTGCAGAAGCGATAGGAAGAGAGAAGAGGCAAGTGCTTTTGCAGGACTTGTCTTTCAAAACTTGAACATAACCCAACCGGAACCCAATCCAACATGTTGACTTGAGAATGAAAGAGCTTCTTGGGGTTAGTTTGAGGGATGACTGCCTCAAAAATCGGTATCGATTGCTGTCAGTGCTGAGGTGTGCGTGGAAAAGGGAATTTTCAATTTGATACTGTAGCATCAGCATACATCCATCATACCGAAACTTTGTGTTTTTGTTTTGCGAGAGAAGTGTCGCAAGGCCATTACAGTGGTGTTATTGTCCAATGATCCTGCCAAGGTTCCAGGAGATTCAACTTGCTTGTGAGCGTCCCCCACTTTCCTCAGCGCATGCTGTGGCAGCTGGCATTCCCTTGATTTTTGATGATGCATGCAGTGAATTATGGATTTTGAGGCAATTTGAGCCCCCTTTCCAACATCTGGTTTCCACATGAGCATTTGAAAAAGGCAGGCCCCAAATCATTGCAAATGTTGCGCTGTCTTCTAAAACAAAAAGACCGAATCCAGCAAAATTCCAACAGCCCCTCCCAAACCTCATGGGATTTGCGGAGGTATCGCTGTTGGGGACACGCAGCTGTCGCGCCAAGCTTGCAATTTGAGATGATACGAGGATATACAGGGGCCAAGAAAGGGGTTTGTGGTAAGTAGTTCATTCGGATGCAGAGACTCAAGCTGCCGGCTTATCATGTCCTTTATGCCGCAGCCCCTTGTATCAAGGGGCAGCTGAGACCTTGAGCTCGAAGAACATCACACGCTGTTGCCGCGCCGTCCCGCTTGAGACATGTAATTATATTGGTTTACATCCCAGCTTGAGCCTATATACATCCGAACAGCACAGTTTCGGCTGTCAGAAGTTGAAATTCTCTATGGAGATGTAAACACCTCCAGGAGTTCAGATGCAGCGAATGCCAGAAGCAAAGCCCTGACGTTCCAACCCGCTGTCAAACTCCCACATTCTCAGAAAGATGATTTGTCAAAGGTCTGCGCATCCTCTGCATTTCTGGACTTTCTGCTTCAGTGGTCCTGGCTATTGTGCAGGGAGCCTCAGTGAAACATTGTGGTAACGGCGCCGTACGAAGGACCCAGAAGGGGCATGTTTAACCCTGCTCCTACGGAAAACAAAGCTGTCGTGAGGAGAACGGACTCCTTGGAGCTTAAGCCGCCTCAACAGTCAGGGGAATAGTCCGGCCCATGTGCTTTGGTTCCCTGATTGGGAATCGCTGCAAAGATCGAGTATTGCTTGAATTGGCTTTAATGCAGGCTAATCTCAGAACTTTGGAAGTGAGCCAAGCGTAAACCGCGGCAAGCCCTGAATCTGTTTAGAAAGATGCTCCTGCTATGTCTACGATAACTGCTACCAACATTCGTGCCTCTTCGAAACGCTCTCCACATGCACTTCCCCTCTGAGGTTGATGCTGCGTGGGTCCCGATTGGCTGGAGTCTTACTCATTCCTTTGCAGTCTATGACTACATGTAACGCCCGTGTAAGCTCGGAACAGATGCTTCTACACTGTCTCGCAATTAGGTGGCACTGCACTGTTCCAACATTCCACGCAAGTATTCTGCTGAGAGACCAGTGATGCATTGACCATGGGCTGGCATGCTGTACTACAAGTTGCGGCTGTGTACCTGGATAGAGCCGTTGCCTCACGCCTGTTACACCACCCTGCAAAGGGGTTCGAGACCCTCGTCCCGGCCTTTGGGCCGAGCACAAGGAACGGAATGAGCTCTTGACCGGGTCTCATCAGACGGGCTCTTTGCTTCTTCAAAACCGAATTAGAAACTGCACTTGCTGTTTCAAAGGCGCCCGGCAGCCATGCGGCAGCCACCCCCGTCGGCGAAGGTCTGGTGGGTCTGTCAGCTGCACCCAAAGCAAGCATGGAATTCACGACCCTCGGGGACGATCCGGTGCACTCCTCTGCTCTTCCCAAAGCATCCACCGTCACGGGCGTGAAGAAAGAGAAGACAGATGATGCACTTCGGCTTGCGTGTAAGAAACATCCATTGTGACAAAGTGCGGATAGAATGATCAAGGATTGTCTTAAAGGCTGTAGCACTGCATGGGAGAACTGTTCTTATACTTGTGGTATAAAGGAGCTCACCTTTGGGTTGGTAGTCGGGGGACTTTCAGCAGGGTGTTGTGTGTGTCAACATTCACCCTCATAATCAAGCTTACACCCGAGGATCCCAAGCGCGCTGCGATGCGCAACCTGGGATTGAACGAACTGCGCCTCCCCACTGTGGATGAGGCAGTCGGGTTCATATCATTCTGACGCATTCTGTCGACTTTCAGAGCTCTGAACTTGTTGTGTGCCACACTGAGAAGTATTTCCTTGCCCAAGTCGACTCCAAGGCAGGTCCCCATTCGCAGCAGCTGCCGTGCAAACATCCTACGCGATTGCTTCCAGAAATTAGAGACCAGTCTTGGAGTTACCTTGGAACCCCAAGATGTTGAGTGTACTTTTGCGGACCCGGATTTGCTGCCACGGCACTGCGCGCTGCGCAGGAAGTCATCGACGAGTTTCATCCGGCAGTTTGCGCGGGCCAGTCGCTGCAGGCTGCCATCACTTTGGCAGGCCTCAGTATCAAGGCAGGGTATGCTGTCAGGATGTCAGGGGATAAGGGATGTGCGCTGGACGTCGACGACGTGCTGGTGGTTGCTCAAAGCAGGCTTCAACGTTACAGGGTGGGTAAAGCAAACGCAGGGAGAGCTGCAGCGACAAGTGCTGAAGCTTGCAAAGGGTTTCGTGTTCAAGAACATGATCTCTCAGTTTCAGGGCAGAGCTGCGCGAGGTGGGCGCTGCCATGCGCGAATGCAACTCCTGGTGGTACAGGCGGCTTTCGGGAAGCAGGAAAATAGTTTCCAAAGTGAGGGTCTCCCGGTATACCTCTAATTATATGAATACGGGAATCCTGTTTTTCAGGGCTGACGCCAGAGAGGCTGCAGCAACTGACATCGAAACCGGGATGCTGATTGTACAGGCTTGGGAGGGGAAGCATCGGCATCATTGAATCGCCATTTCTCTCTGCAGGATTTGCGATCCCGCAGCCCCACCCGGGCTCCGTCAAAAAAAGCCAAACGGGTATAGCTCCAGCTCATGTTGCCAACTCATCCAATTCCGCCAGGAACAGGAAGGCATGCAACTCTGGCTCACGGAAAGAAATCGTATAGTAGTAGGATGTAGTAGTGTAGTAGTGGGAAAGGTGGCATGGGCGGAAAGTGGCGTAGGTACTACCAGCATCTTGTGCCTAGGAGGAAAGAGACACCAGACCGCACCGCCGTTTGTATCACATGATGTGTGAGGTTGCAGCGCACCAATGAGGACTTTGTCTCCACGGCGGACCTGAAGAAATCCCCCGGATCCTATCAAAGCCAAGCCTACAAGACCATCATCGACCATATCTGGCCGAAGGTCACGACATTGGCATGCGCAGACAAAACCATACAATCCATGCGTGGTTTTGGCGCCGATTGAAATGCAAGCTGTGCAGGCGATTGAGGGATCCGAAATTGAGTCAAAATGAGCATGTTATGGCACAGAAAGCTGAGTCCGAACTCAAGAGGCGTCTTGTGGCTCGTGGCTGCTTCCAACGCAGACTGTGGCCTGGTGTTCACTAGTCTTTTGTATTGCATCCCATGCCTGCGTTTGTTGTCGCAAGAAACTGGAGCAGATGTACCCGAGACAACAGCAAGATTGGCAGATAATGGCCCCGCAAGAAGGGCCACAGTTGCCGGACACCCCCGAGTCAAAAGCTCAACGTTTTGTACGTCTCAAAAAATCTTTCAAATCAATAATTCCGTGCGGGCTTTGAAGCGGGCATGGACCAGGCTTCTTTCCGAAAAGCTCTGCACTGCACTTCGCCGAAAGCAAAAGCTCAACCCTGGCTCAAAGGCCGCCGTATGCTGACATTAAGAACCCCATCACCGGCAAGACTGAGCAAGTCGTCGAAGGCAGGGCCGCAGGTTGGAACATGCAAACACAGCTCTGAACACTGCATGGTCTCATTCGCCATTCTCTCGCATGCCTTCTCTGCTGAAGCGGTTCCCCTGCGGCAAAGGTGTGCCAGCTATCAAGAATGGGCGTCGCCTGAATCTCAAGGACGTTGCATCTCGAGGGGCTCTGAAGTCGTCTGAAGGCCGACAAATACCCTTCAGTGCACCTCTCCTGCAAGGACCGCAAGGACACAAGGCATCCAAAACATCCACTACTGCGCATGGAGGCGCAAAGGGACTCCCTGGCCTGACCTCGTAGGGCTACGTAGCAGCGCTATGGACTCCCAGCGAAGAGACCCTGAGCAGATTAGGCCTTCGGCTGGGATTAGTCAAGATGAAGGTTTAAAACGTAATTAATCAGACTATTCACTTGAGTTATCACGTTCGGCTCTGACCTCCTAGCCCAATTGATCTCATGACTCATGACTCCAACTAGCAAGTTAGGTCAACAAATTGGATTGTGGGCGAGGTCAAGGCTCCAATCTTAGTCTAACTAGCTTCATCGAATTTGCATGTCAAACCCCCCTAATCCAGGAAGGTACATTTCTAACCTAGACTACCGGGGCCCAAGTCGGCAAATTGGCTAGATTAAGTAGGCTCCGTTATCCATATTGATGGTTCTGGAAAAACCAGACCGTTAGATCAATGGGTGATGACAAGCTGGACTGGCTGGTCAATGCCTAAATCCAATGGTGTTCTGTTTACTGAATTGGGATGTCAAGCTGAATCTGACGACTGAATGCAGTAAGTGCTCTGCTGTAGAAGCCTTTTGGGTTAGTGTTTTGAAGTCGGCAGACTGACTGCGAAGTCACCCCCGCAAGCTAATCAAACTGACTATTGGATCAGTTCTGTTGTCACCTGAATATTTGTTGGTGAACAGCATAAACACAGGTGTAATTTCTAGGCACGAGTGCATGTGAGCATACATACTTCCTGCTAAGTGTGTGGTGGTATGTTCTGAGGAGTCTTTGAGAAAGCCTTTGAGCAAGCTACCAGCATCGCCAGGCTGGAACACGGCGGTTCGTCCATGACTAGTACACAGCACAATGTTCTTTAGTGCCCGTTGCAGTCTTCGTTGTGGTCGCCGTGGACATGACTTTTGAACCCAAGCCCTTCAGGGCACCTCTATCAAGAGCCTGAGAATAAGGGGAGTCTTCCATACTTGGAGAGATTCAGATCGGCGAATACGACACCCCGAATACTACCTACATACTTCGTTCGTGTTGCAATCAGTCGGAACTCGATTTCGAGATGCTGAGAAACGTAGCAACCCAATTCGTGTTTTCCTTGGTCTTGTAGATCCTTCTGCTGCTTCAGCGGAGAGCCCTGCGTCATGCATGTTCGAAGTTCCATGTACTGACATTTCCCCAAAGTGGTCGCCTCACATGAGCATGGGCAGTCGTGCTGTGAAGTCGCTGATGTCGCCGCTCTGAGCAGTTTCCAAGACAAAATCCGGGCCTACAAGGACCTAAATCATAAAAGATTGCACCTCTGTAATTCTCTCGTATGCCTCAAGCATGTAGTCCTTGAAATGTCTGCAGAACCTATTTACTTGTTTGCCCGACATTCAATTTCGTGTTCCACGTTTCATGTTATTCTGCGTTGCTCTAAGTTCGAAGTATGTACCGATAGAACGCATGCAGAGGAAATCTGCCTGGGTTCCATTAAAGTTATGCGAGATTTACCCAGGGCATTGGGGTTGAATTGGGGAGCCCCCGTGTGTGAGCAAAATTTGGTCTCTTTGGAAGCGCCCTGCTCCATCCTGACGGCCTCCGGCCTGGAGCCCCTGACCCTCTATGGTCTTCTGCAGGCCAATAGTCACTAGTCAACACAGACTACCATAGCTTTGCCTGGCTTCTTTGCGAACCACTTTTGGCGATCTGCTGTGGCTCATGTAAGCACACACAGATCAAGCTTCTCGAGGCCTGGAAAAGATGCGGTCGCAGCTGAGGAACACGTCTAAGGCGAGGCGAACTTAAAGCAGCATGAAGAGACACGGCTAGCTGTCGCCAACTTCACGGCTTTGCTTTTGGGGCGCAAAAAACTTGATCTAGCACCAGGTCTGGGACCAAGTATGCATTCAGTTTCATACCAGCCTCCAAACAGGAGAATCTCTGAGGTTCCGAAGAGTCTAAGCCTAAGCATTCGCTACTTGGGGATGTTGCAGTAGCAACAGATAGCAACAGGCACAAGCGCCTTCTCGGCGGCTCATAACAAGCCTATGAGGAACCGGTTTGTTCCGGACAGCCTGCCTTGCGAAGTTAACGGCAAGTTGCACCATGTATCAAAACGGATGAGCAAGCACACTCCAACATGAAGATTTCATATTGTGGGGTGGGGGGATATTTCATATTGAATTCCTTGACAGTCGATTGGTCGATTGGATGGGGATCAGCCGCTGGCAGTTTATAATCGTCGATGCAACCCTCCACAATGGAAACAAGAATCAATCAGTTGCTCCGTCACTTGTAGGTCGTGCCCTGTATGGCAGGTTTGGGGTGAGGTCTATGGAGACGACTTCAGTGAGTTCAAGACTCTCAGATGTTGCAGTGCCTACATGCGTGACTTCGTAATACAGGGCAGACACAGTGATTCTGTTGTGCGATCTCCATCTTGACCATTCAACACCTGTGACCCAAGGAAAACGCATGAGACTGCCTACAACGTCACAGAATGGGATCTCTCCTTGGACAACATGAGCTTCACATTTGGTGCCGTGGCCCTGCACGCCGTGTTCTGTGGATTTCTGCGTCATGTTTCGCACGTCTCGCCTGCACAGTCCAGCATTAGTCCAGGCGATGAGTGGACACTTGAGGGCTGGCACTACTTCTTGGCTAATGGAGGCGTGATTTGGGCAGCTTGGATTTGACAAAGACGTGAAGACTGTCGCAGCGTCTCTTCGTACCAGTACTGTATATGAACTTGTGCAGGGCAGGCGACATCGGGTGTCAATTACGAACAACGGCAAAGGTTTCTGCGAGGCTTTGGTTTGGCTTGCACGTATTCCGGGCCCTACCGTAATACCAGACACCAATGCCTTTGCCCGGCCCACCCCGATCAACCGCTCCAAACCCTGAAGAGATGGGCATTGCACGGATGCGGCTTTTGCAGAGCATGTTGCCAAGGACACGCGCAATCGCTTCGGTAACACGACGATGTCGGGGCTGGCAGTCTCCTGGTCATGACTTGGATCCGGCCAGTATGCCGCATGGTGTCCATGCTAGACTTGTGCTCTTCGCCACGTGCATCAAGGTAGTTCTTTCCAACAACGGATCAATCGCTTTGATGGTGGCACCGCGCGGAGGCACACTCCGCCTCCCCTCGATGACAAGTCTTGTGCTTTAGAATAAGTGATGAAGCTTCCTGCTCAGGCATGCCATTCGCGTCCTCCTGCCCGAATCCCGTGCCCTTGGCAGAGAAGAATGACAGGAGATTCTTGATGAGGGGCTCTCATCCAAGGAATCATGCAATGTTTTAACAAGGGTGGTTTGCCGGATAGTGCTTGTGATTTCACTTGGGCGTGTAAGAGGCCCCATACTCTGAGCAGATTGGGCATTTCTTGAAACTGGAGTTCCCAAGTGCGCTACAAATCCTGCTGAACCAACCCCAAAGTTCGAAGCGGCCTAGACATTTAGGCAAATCAAATCCAAAGTAGAGACCCTTGTCCCGACAATAAAGTGCAATCCTCATTGTAAGGACTTCCAACAAACGACTCATCATATTGAAGACAGGGCTTCTGTTTCCCTACACAGAAACCCTAAACGCCGCAAACGCCTGAAATCCTGAAACCTGATATGCTCAGGTCCCCTTGAAGACATGGGTGCATGTTGCCTGCCAACGTCGGGGATCCGATTTGGATTTTATCGTGAGCCTTGCTCGTTATTTGTCCGTCATGGTGGGTGGGTGTGGGGTCAAGGGATTGAGGGTTTAGGCCTAGGCATCATCCCGATTTTCTGATGCTTGCAATGAGCACTTCATTATTTTGGCTGTCCTGAGTTACAAGGGGTGTTCGGGAAACAACATTCCTGACCTTTGTGAGAGCTTGTGGCTTGCTTCTCGGCCGCACCTACTGCGACTGCCGCCCACCCACTCTGTGTCCAAGCGCACCTTGCAAGCCGCAAGCGTTTGTGGAGAATAACATGCAGGATCTGACTGCAGGGCATGATTGCAAGTCCTTGCAACGAATCACAAAAATACGGACTTGCAAAAGTTATATGCCAGAAACATGATCCTGTACTCAATTGAGACCCTAGGTGCCCAGTGCCGCGTGCTTCCTAGAATGGAATTTCAGTTGCACTATGGCACTATGACTATGAGGAACGGCACCCAAGTCTGTACCATGCCGGCACCGGCCGAGCTGGACAATCTGAAGCCACAGACTATGGTGAGGATCGGCCGTGCCTCGTTTCATCGTTTAAGGCTGCTGCTTTTGCAGGATGACGTGGTTGTACGCACTTGATAACGGATTACCTTTCGGATTGTATGGGGTCTTCGTAGGTGGTGTTCCCTCGATTCTTCGCAACTATATATGTGCGCGCATCTACAGTGAAGAGTTCCGAGAAAAGCATCCTCTGGATTTTAATGTCAACTTCATTCCCAGCTGTTTGAGCTTCAAGCTTGTTTTCCCTACTGTGCTTGGAGCCTGCCCCGGCTATATCCGGAAATGTCAGGCTTTGCTTCTTCTCAAGATGCACACACGTTTCAATCACGTTGGCAGTAATCCATAAGAACACAGATAGAAGATGGCATTGGTGACTGATATGTCGGCAACCAGTTGCGACAGCACCAGGTTAAGACCGGGAGCTTTTGCACTTTGCACAAGTATGCATTATATGCAAAGGCTAGATCGGCATTTTCGTAGCGGGACAATCACGCACGACGTGGACAGACAGACGCGGAACATGGCAAACAACAGCGAACGAACAAGCTAAGTTCTACGTGTCCTGTGATCATACATGACATTCACAAATCATTCATGACGTTGCGCCTCACGCCTCGTTTTCGTGATAAGCTTTCGTTTTGGTTTTGGAGATGAGCTCCCTTCTCGCTTAAGGTGCAGCAACCAACGATACAGATTCCAGCCTGCATGCCCTCATCTCGAACATGCGGCTGACGGGCAAAGCTGTCTACCATAAGTCGCTTAGAATAATTTCAGGGACATCTTGAAAGGGACTATTCTGGAGAGGCAAAGAATCTTTCAGGGCGTTGTGCAGCGGCGGTGAAGCAAATGAAACATGCATGATTTATCTGCAGGTTCACTATTATTGCCCAGGATTCGGATGCAGGTTTAAACTAGAATCCTCCCAAAGGGATTACCCCCACCAAGCCAGTGACGCACAGTGCCAAGCTGTACCCCGATATTATATTGACAATGCTTAGCTATGCTAACCTGAAGGGCTTCTCAGTAGTGGCGAGGGAAGTGTAGCTGAAAGATTGATAGTCTGGCTGTCTCTGCCTATGCCGTGTAACATGATTTGGTATGGCTAAATGGTTGCTTAGCCAGGCGACAGGAACCTTATACACCTTGACTTGGTTCTTACGAACTCCCTGTATACACGAAGGACCTCACCTCCGCTCTGTCCCTGCATCTTCAGAGCATGAAGTACTCATTTAGGCCCTAGGGTGATTCCTGATCGTTTCAGCCCCTATAGATGCCGTTTCTTTTTCCATATTCATATCGTGTTCCGTTGTTCTACTTATCCAGGATCCTGTCTGGTAGCACCTCGTGTAAACACTATGTGTTAATCATCCTAAGTCCTAATATGACAATTGCGAATCTTTAGACACAATTGCTGCAGCCTAGAGCACAGAGACCTGCACACAACCCAAGTACGGCAGGAGCGTTGCTGTTCAGACATGTTGAAGCATATTCGTGTTGAGATTGCTGGCACTGTCAGGTTTGATTTGTAATTGCTCGTGGCTCTCGCAAAGCCTCCGTCTAGACAGTGCGTGTACGCCCACATGATGTTCAAACCTATACAAGGTCCACCCCCAGCCCTTTGCGCCTCCACCGGAGTGCTTCTTGGTAACTACAAGTAAGATCACATGCAGGTTAATTGAATCATGTTTTGCTAAGGTACTTGCGACCTCACCAGATACCCAGAGCTGATAGGATCTCCTCAGTTTGTTTCGCATCGCAAGAACTTCGATTAACGCTTCCTCACTTGAAGTCTCCATGATCGATGACCTAAGCAAGGGCTGCATGAGATCATGGCAAAAAGCAGTTGGAAGTTCCAATTTCCAATCCTCTGCCGAACAGTGCTTAACATCTGAAAGCACCGGATTCCTTTTTGGTAGACTTCACCGGTAATTTAGGGACCGTGATAATGGTAGATAGCATTCTGCTGTGGGCCATATAGGGTTGCAGTAAATTTATCTCGAAACTCTGGTCTTCTTGCTTTTGGCCCATCAATTAAGTCGCAAAGGGATCCCTAAACGAAGTGTCCCAAGTCACTGCAATACAGCAACCAACCTCCAAACACAACCCTGAGCGACATGGTGGCTTGCCCATGAATCCGGCATGTGCATGGTGGGAGCTGTGATTCAGGGAGGATGAGATGAGCAAACGTGGGTTAGGATATGTTTATCATGTTTAGAAAAGTCTAGATGTAATTGTATGTAGCTGTCCTACTTTTTTAACTACCTGCGAAGAACTCCCTGTGTAGCCAGCTTGGAGGTCGACTGCTGAACCAGAACGACATTTGGATCTGCACCCAAAAACCCACTTTCTTCTCCACGGAGGTGGGAGTTTCTCCAAAACTCTGGGTATCGCTTTGAGGTCCCTACAATGAGGACCTCAGTAGTTTGTGATCAGGGATAGTTTTTGAGGAAAAGTTTTCAACGTTAATATAGAGGCCCAATTATTGGAAAAGGTTGTTTGTTCCTCTAGGAGCAAACAGGTATTGCAAACAGCTTTGTAGGAATGGTTAGAGGGACTTTGTGCAAGAAGTGTCGGAATATGGGTCCCTCTGTTTAATTTAGCATTCCGTTTTCCAAACTATTGTTGCATGGGAGTCGCATTTGCTGCACGAGAGTTTCAATGCATTGCTCGGTTTAATGTTCGCAGGAGCCCGAATATTTTCAATAGTAACTAGTTTCATTCTGTCGGCCTTGTAGGCTAAGAGAAGTTTCTGATTCTCTTGGGCTGCTACACGAAGCCAAAAGACAGCCTGAACTCCTGTGAGGATACCTGGACCAAGTGAGCATGCGCCCTCTTCTCATCTCAGGACACGCTGGGTCGCAAACATTTCCTTTGCAAAAGAAGTGAATACATCCAAGGCCCCTGTCATGTAGGCCTCCGTGAAGCAAAGATGATTAGCCCCTGTACAGATTACAAGGGATATGTATGAGTGAGTTTGAACCAGTCAGAAATAGTATGAAGGGCTACAGGGCCATCTCCTTACAGAAAAGCAAGGGATTTGATTTGTAATGGCTTTCCAGGGCAGTATGCCTGCCCTTCCCGCCGCCTGCGCGTCAGTGGGTACAGCTTCTTTTGCAGCACTGTTCCCATCTGAATCTGCATCCGTATGCTATTCCCCGGGAGCCTTAACACCCACCAATCGCAACTTTGTATGAACCCTGCATAAACATACGCAAGAGTAACCATTGTAATCAAGACCCTGCGTAGCGAGTTCAGCGAAGCTCCAGGACATGGCTTGCTGGAGGGAATGGTGAATCATGGAGGGCCCACAAAGAAGCATCTTCGGTTGAAAATTGAAGTGCGCATTGAGCCCTCCAAGATTTCTTGCAGGTCCTTCCGGTCTGCCCCTGGATGCATCTAGAGAACAATTACATGACGGAAAGATCCTGTAACACAGTGTGAGTGACGCATTGGGTCTCTGATGACAATAGGAGTATGTATGTATGTATGTATGTATGTATGTATGTATGTATGTATGTATAATATACATATATATATACATATATAGATGGATAGATAGATATACTATGTAGTTCCAGGTCCTAGGCGTGAGCCACAGTTTTTTGTGATCTGTTGCAGGTTCGCGATTCCCCGTGCTATGTGTCATTCATAGCAACATAGTCACAGTATGGACGGCATGTTCCTCCGCCAGCTTTTGCAGCGACTTGGAGTACCGTTAGTCACTCAGAGTTGTGCATATATGTGTGCACGCACTGTTTTTGCATCAGTGACAGTGTAGTGATGTTTGTGCATTCGAAGTGGTTCAAAGATCACTACTGTAGTGTCAGTGTGAGTGTGCATGCGTGCGTGCGTGCGTGCGTGTGTGCGTGCGTGTGTGCGTGTGT